ATTAAATGGGAAAGAGAATGTTTGTTTAATAAATGGTGCAGGCAAAACTGGATATTCATTTGCAGAAGAAATGAAACAAGAACTGTACCTCACACCATACACAAAAACTAACTTCAGATGGATCAAAGACTTAAATGTCAAACTTAAAACTGTAGAGTTCCTCAAGGAAAAACTAGGGGCAAATTTAGGGCCCCTAATATACTCTGTAAGTGGAGCTCAAATAGCATAGTGCCTAAGGCACTTGACTGCTAACCAGAAGCCTGGCGGTTCAAATCCACCAGCCACTCCTCGGAAGGAAGGTTGGGCAAGGAGGGGTCGCTATGGGTCGGGCCACACTTGACGGCACATAACAACAACAACAAGAACAATATGCTCTGGTAGCATAGTGCCTAAAGGCACTTGACTGCTAACCAGAAGCCTGGCAGTTCAAACCCACCAGCCACTCCTCGGAAGGAAGATGGGGCAATCTACTTCCATAGTGATACTGCCTGGGAAACCCAAGGAGGGGTCGCTATGAGTCGGGGCCGACTCGATGGCACATAACAACAACAATGTACAGCATAAATAGACTATCAAGCATAACCCGAAATGCACAAACAGCAGAAGAGAAACTAGATAAATGGGACCTTGTAAAAATTAAATTTTTATGTGCTTCCAAAGACTTCTCCAAAAGCATCAAAAGAGAACCTACAGATTGGGAAAAAATATTTGGCAATGACATATTTGACAAGGGATTTATCTCCAGAATTTATAGAAAACTCCAACACATCAACAATAAAAAGACAAATAATCCAATTTAAAAATGGTCAGAAAACATGAATAGACACTTCACCAAAGAGGATATTCAGGCAGCCAACAAACATATGAGGAAATGCTCACGATCATTAGCCATTAGAGAGATGCAAATCAAAACAACAGTGAGATACCATCTTGCCCCAGAACTAGTAGCAAACTTCAACAAGACACAAACTAACAAATGCTGGTGAGGATGCAGAGAGATTGGGACTCTCATACACTGCTGGTGGGACTGTAAAATGGTACAACCACTATGGAAAGCAATATGGGAATTCCTTAAAAAGTTGGAATTAGAAATACCATTTGACCCAGCCATTCCATTACTAGGTATATATCTTAAAGAAGTGAGAGCCATGACAAGAACAGACATAT